TCTGCTGCTGCTGGGTTCTAGGAAAACTTTTCCTGGAGTGCAGAATGGTGTTTTGCAGGTACCCGAGGAAGGGCTAGGTAATGCAAAGCTGTAGCACCTGTTAGGTTTTCTGGGTGAAAACAAAGCAGAAAGTTCCTCTAAGCCTTTCCCTTTCCTCTTTCACAGGACTATTCCTCACAGAATGTGGAGACATTTCTGGAAGGTCTCAACCCAGGGACTTTTTGTTGCCATTTTTTGGCCTTTTATTCCTCAGTTTGTCTGCAATTGTTTGTTTTACTGGGCCTTGTATTTTAACCCAGTTATAAACATTGATCTTGTGGTTACAGAGATAAGACGTCTGGAGACACAAGTGCAGTGATTGGCATTGGAACTCTTGAGCTGTTCAGCTTCTAAAATGGACATTTTGAATAAACTTTGCTTTTCTTCTTTATGTACGTGGCAGTGAAAATCATGGATTATGTTATTTTAAACACGTGAAAAAGCTTTAAGATAAGTTACTCTTAAACCAGCTGATTCCAAATTGGAGGATGAAGGAAAAATGAATTTTCTGTTGGAAACAAAAAGCACATTCCTGTATAGCCATGTAAAACTCATACAGTCATCTCACCCTATTTGTACCAGATAAATTTCTCTATTCTGTCCTGAGCATTCTGTGTATTTTCGAGCCTGCCTTAAAGTCAGTGTCTTCTGCACTGCTACAGTGATTTCTTTCTTTTTCTTTTTAAACTTAGCATTTCATACCAGCAGTGTGTTCCTCAACTTCAGTTTGCCAAAGGAATGCCCTTCCTGGATAGGCTTGATGTTGAAAGAACTTCATTTATCTCAGTCTCCTGTACACGTAGCATTGTAACTGCCCTAGAGTTTCATGGTAGAGTTTGTTCCAAAATTCCTGCAGCTGAAGGCAAAGGCTACTTGAATTTTCCTGTATCTTGGAAAATGTGATAATTACCATGGAAATTTTTTATTCAGCTCAGTTAGACTTCATCAATAGCTCCTTTCATTCTCTCTTCTTGAATTCTGTTGCTAATTCTTAAATATCTCTTAAAAAGGATTATTTTGGAAAAGTGACCTGACACTGTAATTACTTATGGCAATATAATGTGTGTATCTCTGTCTGTGAGCAAATATTGACTGGAAAGTTATTTGTGTAAGCAGGATTGACATTTGTTAATGTATGTTCCTTTGACTGAATCAAAAGGTAAGATTTCTTTTCAAGAACTTTGTCCCCTTGCAGTCTGCATTGGTTTGTTGTTTTATTTCATTTGTGTCAGTAATGTGAACTAAATTTACCTATGAATATTTTTCATGATTAAAGATCACTCTTGAAATCTTCACTATTCCTATAGAGAATTTGGGTTTTGATTTTTGTTTGGGTTTTGATTTTATTTGTTTCTTTTAATATTGAAGTACATGTCATTAGCTTTGACTTGTGCAAACCTGTTCTTTAGCCCTGCATCTTTGAGTAAGTTGAGGTGGGTGAAAGCAGACATAAAACATTCCTGGATCTATAACTCTTCAAATCAGCAGGTACAAACCAGTGTTTTATTCATCAGTTCAGGGTACTGATTTCTCTTCCCAAAGGGTTAAAATGATCTGTGAAGTGACCCTAACTAAAACCAGCTTTACTCCCTGATGAGGCATGTATACTTCTGAGCTTCATAAACTCTTGCTGTGCAGGATCAAACACTTGTGTGAAAGCCCCTTGGTCCCAACAACTTCTGCATTTTTTTCATGTTTCTGTTTTGGTTTGCTTTTTTAAATCTGCTTTTGGTTTCTGTTTTGCATTTGCTTTTTTAAATCTGGCTCTAAAGTTCTAAGGGTAGAATTCCTCCCTGTGCTTGCAGGAAATTCAGGGTGTACATAGAGTAAGGAGTCTGAGCCTTATCAAATAATCAGCTGTTTAAAAAACTCATTTTAAAAAGTAATTGCTAGAAAAAACCCAATTGTATGATTCTTCAATGCAGGCAGCATTACTCCAGGTGAATGAAATTCAACACTTCAATTAGTCTTTGTATCAAGTGTTTAATGTAGATGAGAGGGCTCTTTGTGCTGACACTGTGACTTCATGAACTTTTTCCAGTCAGTTCAAAGTTAACAAATGCTAAGATTTGTTAGTGTAGTGGAGAAGTTTGGTTTGTATCTTATAGCCAGTGGAGGGGGGATAAAAAGTTCATAGTGAATGATATTATCAATCTGAAAAATCTGTGAATCTTAATTAAACAAAAATTAACATTGTCAGTTACTCCTTAAGCTGATAAACTCAGATTTCTATTTAGTCAATAATAAGTGCATGGGAGAAAGTAAATAACAGGAAAAATGTTTACTTTGCCCATTTTGAGGTGGAGAGGCTGAGATGGAATGAAGGAGTATCAAGAAAGGGGAAAATCATTTCCTGTCATTACTGTGGCCAAAAAAAAAGTCATTTTAGATTTAAATATATTCAAGAGTCATGTATCTGATACCTGCACAAAGGCTGAATCTCACCACACAAAAAGTCTGGCCACAAAAGGTATTTTCTGTGGTAGGGAGCTTTAGAAAAACATTTGGCAGCTTCACGGTCACATTCACATGCCATTTTTTGACATTTGTCTTCTAGTGAGTCTGAAAGAAAACACAGTGAGTTTGTTATTAGTCTGAAGAAATTAAAAATCCCCAATGGAATACCAAGAATTGCTCCCTCATGTTCCATATTTGCTGTACAAATGCCTTACATTTCAAGTGCAATAGGAACTGAGCCTTGGTAAGACTGAGAAGCTGTGCATCAGTCACCAATCACTGATCTTGGCAGGTGAAAATACAACAGCCAGATAAAGTCTAAATACTCTTCTTAGAGTTTTTTAATAAAGGAACTCTGATAATTGATCTCTCTTTAGAAGGTGGTATGGGATCCTCCCTGCCTTTCCTCTTGCTCTAGTGAAACTTGATTTTGGGAAGATATTCCATTCACATACCCTTTATAATCTACTCTAAGACATAGCATTAAAAATAATACTTGGGATATATGCATGGCATGCAGAGGTGTTCCATGTCCAGCCTAAGCTGCCCACCTTTTTTATTAAGGGGTTCAGTAAGAAGTTAGGAAAGCTGTGTTTGTGTGATTAATCCATGTCTTGCCGTGTTTGTTTTATAATTGTAGTGTTGTAACTTAACAGATTTCTTGGCATGAGTGTTTCTTCTTGGCATGAACATTTTCTTCTACAGCAATGTATTTTGGGTTCCGTGTGCCAGCCCAGAAGTGTGTGGTTTTTTTCTCTCTGTAACTGTCTGTAAACCGAAGAATCCTTGATTACATTTTGTCTGAGTGTTTACCATTTTAAAAGCTTAGCCAAATCACTGCTTGAGATTTGTCCAGGAGCAGAACAAGTGTTCAGTTTTGTGAATGAACTCAAATTCTGCCATGAAAGAGAAAGTATTCTTAATGTAAATGTGTTTATGCTGCAGCTAGCTACTCAGTAGCACAGGTAGCATGAACAACATGATAGGATAAAAAATGAAAACATGTTAACTGAGAACTATTTCTTCTTCTGTTCTTCTCCTGGTATTGCTCCAGAGTTTGGTTTCCTGACACATTGCCTGATATCTTGGCCAGTGTTTTGAATATTGTCAGGAGCAAAATCTTTACAGCCCAGTAAGGGTGGACTGTGATGTGATTAATTAGGGTGAGAGATGTTTCGTCCATCTGGGGCAGGGGAAGATTTGAGCAAGTAGAGATTCTGAATGAGGCAGACACTTGGGCAAAGGAAAGATTGAAGAGGAAGGAGGAAAGGAAGTAATGTCCAAACTTTCATTTGTTTTCAGGTCAGGCAAATTCTAAATTGATTATGAAATGAGAGGGTTTTATGTTCTCTGTTAATGGCCAACTGTTGCCTTTAAACTATGGTAGTCAGAAACTCAGACTTGGTTTAAACAAGTTTATGTAAGGGGTTTTGCATTTCTGTAGTGCAAATAATAACCAATTTTTAAGCTCATTTGCATTCTAAGTAGAAGCATAAAATTATATGTAAAGTAACTGACTGAGCATCTGATTTTTAAAACAAAACAAGCAACGAAAATCCCAAACAGCACACAAACAAAAAACCAATATAAAAATGTAGCAAGAAAAAAACCCTGTAAATATTGGGGGCTTGTGAGAAGCTACAGTTTCAATGAGTCTTTGAGTATATTGGAAAGCATTTGCTAAAACTTTGGGAGTTATGAACAAATAATGCAAAAGAAAAGCTGCTTTTTCCTGTTAATCATTTCTTGGGATTTTTCTTTCTTTGTGATTTCTTTGTCCTTCCCTTACCTCAGCATGGCAAGTATATTTTGGAACAATCCAACAAAATTTATCAGGATGTGGTTGGCAATCTACTGCAATTTGTACACTTGTTTTATGTAGATATTTTCAAATTAGTATTTGTTAATTTAACTTCCAGAAATAAACATACTCATCAAATATTTTATTACCTCATTGTTTGAAACTGTAACCTGTAATTATCAATTCATTCATAAATTGCAGCCATCAGTGCAGCTGATCAGGGATAAATATGCCAAAGCCATGTCCTTTATAAACTTACAAATAGTGGGGAATATTTTCTGCTAAGAAGGGAAAACATCCTTTTTAAACTGTTACAATTTTCCTATCTCCTGTTTGTAGTTGCTCTCCAGCTGGAGCCTTGCAGGGAGTAGCATGACATGGGTTCCTCAGCAAATGTAAATGCTGAGTAAAAGGATGGTTGTGGTTGTGTTTTCTGAAAAGGTAATAGATGCTTCTAGCTCTCAGTTTTGTTTGCTTATGTCAGTCAGAGGGGAGGATTAAGAAAAAGAAACTGCATTCAGTTGATTGGTTTAGCTGTGCTTTCTGGAGGCACAGTGTATCCTGGCAAAAAAAGTTACAAAAGGAAGGATGGTAAACTAAGAGTTTTACAGTTAATTAAGAGAATACCTTTCTAAAGAGATAATTAGTAGAATTAAGAAACAACCAACCAAACAAATAACCCAACACCAAAAAACTCCCAAGTGCTCGCTCACCACACACAGCAGAATTGTCTTTGCATTCCCAGTGGTAACTTTCAGTCTTGGGCTGGCACCCTGCTTGTTCTGCCCTCCCATAGCAGCAGTCGTGGTGAAAGCAGCACCTGAGAGAACAGAGATGGTGATCTGTGGTCACACAGGCTGGTGGGGGTACTAAGCTGTGGAATAATAAAACACTCAGCATCACTGAGTGTCCAAGCACTTCCTGCTCAGGAACCAAACCAGAGTCATGGTTTAAGAGATCACCTGGAAAAAATTACTACTTTTTCATGTAATAAGTGATGAGAAAAATGTCTGGTATACATTGAGCTAATTGAATCCTCAGAGCATTCTCAGTTACATGTGAGGATGCTTTTCTCCTAGCCCCCTTCCACAAAATGAACTGTTAGCTCATTATCATCAGAAAATGTGGAAGGTTGCTCAAAATTGTTTCAAAATTGTTCTTGTCATAATTGGCACAAAGAATTTTTAGGCTTTTTATTGACATTGTGAAACTGAACAGTACAGGTAAGAATTAATGGCATTTAATGCTTAAAAAAAGGCATTAAAATATGCTGGTGTAGTGTCTCTGCTGTGGAATCATTGCAAGCTCAGAAAAGCAAGGAGAGGACCTGTAATGATGCAGCTTTTTGCTGCAAATTAATGACATCCTTTCTTTTTGACTTGCTGGAAGAACTGGGTGAATCCACAAAGTATTCATTCATTCATTCACTCATTCACTCATTCACTCATTCACTTTCCTCCTGGCAGACTAAAACCATCAGATTGTAGTAGGTAGATGGTGTTTAGGTTGCCTGAGGAACTTGTGTCTGCAAAAGGAAAAGTTAATGCTCTCACTTTGCAATTACTGTTTTTCCTGTGCTTATTAAGTAATTACTTGGTCATTCCCCACAAATCATTGTGTAAAGATCCTGTGGTACATAACAGCTGAACAACACAGCTCAGTAAATCCATTTCCTGCATAGAAATTTTTTTAAAAACCCCAAACCACACAACAACAAAATCATCTTCTTGTCATTTAATGTTCAATTATAAGTTACATTGATGATAGTCAGTATGCTGTGATTTAATACTAAATGGAAAGGTTTGGGTTTTAGAATTATTTTTCAGCAGGTTGAATTTTGCATAATTCTTCTGTATTATTTTGAATACTAATAACATGGAAGATGTAAAATCAAAAGGTTTTTTTATTGCCTTTGTTTTTTAGTTTTTACTTTTGATAACTTCAATGTTTGAACTTCAAAGCTTCTCCAACAAGACTTCAGTTATTTAACTCTTTGCTGAAACACAACAGCAAAGAAACTCAGTTGTACTGTGAATCCTG